TGAATGTCAGTCTGCTACTTACTCAGCCACGTTACCCAGGTAACAAATTGATGCTTAACAAGTGTTCTTTCAACGATTTTAATTCAGGCTTAGTTTTAATAATTATTGTACATAGACCACTTTAACCTTTGTTCAGCTTTTAAACATCTAAATCTGGTGATTTTAATCAGCCCAAAGCTTAACAACAATCTAAATTATAAGCTTTTCAATGCATTAACCAACAGTCTTTTCCAACCCTTGTTCAGCCTTAATTTTTTATTTAAAAAAATATAATGGAAGACCGCTTCATATCTTATATTCTTTTATGAGACTGCTTTAGAATGTTGCTGACTAATTGGATTTACATATTTATATTGTTATTATATGTCTAAAAATTACCTTTACATTTCGGGATTCGAACCAGCAGTCGCTGATTCACAGGCGTCAACTATACCCACTCGACCACATAAGCATATTTGAGGCAGAAGGTATGATCATTAACATGAAGCACGTCAAAATTAAGTTGAATAATAGCAACCGGAAGAGTAGCAATGCCGAATTATAAACAATAAATTGTGACAGTAAAACATTCCTCTCATTTCAAGCGCAGTAAACACAATGTGGACACAAGTGTGCGATGTATTTCAATGCTATTTTAGTGCTATTATTGAATTCTATTTTTGAAATGCGGTATGAAAATTAAGTGCAAAATAAAGTGGTGAACAGACAAAACACAGGAATACTAATGTTAATACTTCCGACGTCGTCGCAGTCCACTTCTAGGTGGAACTATTCTTGAAAAGCTCCTCTTCCTATTCAATTGTCTCTACTGCTGGTGCTGCTTGGTATTAGAAAGGTAGGCAGTGAATTTAGAGTAACTAAAATGTCGGAAATGCAACAAGTGAGACTGACGACATTTAACAATATTGTGCTATACATTCATAGTATTCAATCAGGCTATCGGAATATTTGTAGCGCATTGCTGGTTTGTGGAGAAGTATTAAGCTTAAATAAGTCTTGTTCAGTCTTTATATCAGCTAACTTACTGAGGTTGAATTATGGGGATACAATTCGCTTCATGCACTACTAATCAACTGTATATTCAGCCTGGTGTTAATCAGCTTCGTACACCTTAAATCAACCAATAATCAACCTTTGTTCTTACAATTCAGCTTGAATTGTTACTTGGGTAGGGATGCCTCAAGGAAGTCGCCTAGGCCCGTTGATTTTCCTGTTGTACTTTAACGACGTGAATCTGGTCCTCGAAGGCCCTCGTCTATCGTGTGCAGATGATCTTAAAATCTACATCCAGATCCGTTCTATCGTTGACTGTCACTTTCTCCAATGCCAGCTCGAAGCGTTTGCTAACTGGTGCGACTTGAACCGAATGGAGGTCAACCCCGCGAAGTGTTCAGTTATCACCTTCTCTCGCAAGAAGGAACCGATCATGTTCACTTATGTACTTCAGGAAACAACAATCAGCCGTGTCAACCACGTGAAAGACCTGGGAGTTATTCTGGATTCCCAGTTAACGTATAAACAACACATCTCGTTCATTGTCGACATAGCGTCAAGATCTGTGGGATTCATTTTCAGGATTGCAAAGAATTTTTCCGATATATATTGTCTCAAATCGCTGTTCCCTGGTGCGGTCCACCCTGGAACATTGCTCTGCAGTATGAAACCCAAGCTATACAAATGGTGCTGAAAGAGTTGAGTCCGTTCAGCGTCGATTTCTTCGATTTGCTGTGATGAAATTGCCTTGGAGAAACTCAGTTATGAAAGTCGATGTCAACTGATTGATCTGGAGCTTCTACGTAGTCGGAGAGACACTTCGCGGGCCCTGCTCATCGCGGATAGTTCACAGGGTAGAATTGATTGTTCTACAATCCTGGAGAAGATCAACGTGAACGTCCAACCCCGAGCGCTGCGAATTAACGCTATGCCTCAGCATTGCACTAACTATAGCATGAACGGTGCTATAGACGGCCTTCAACGTGTGTTCAATCGAGTTTCTTCAGTGTTCAATTTCAACCTGATACGAGAGATGCTACGCCGGCGCTTTTCACGTATTTTCTCTGACGCAGTAAACCGTTGAATGACCATGTATTTTACTGTATTGTGTATTTTAGTAAGCTGGACTAAAGGGTGATACGGTCAAAATTTGGTCAAGGGAAAACGCGTGTAAATCGGTGAAATCGTTTATTTAAAAAATCAAATTAAATTTCTTTTTCAAGTTCAATTAGTATAAAATTCAGGAAAAATATTCAGTTAGGCTTCCGCTTTTCCAAATCCGAATTGCCGGGCCTTACGCTTGACCCCTGCCATCAGATTTTGTACAGCCACCTTGTCCACCTTCATCGCCGCAGAAAGCCAGTTTGCCTTGAACTGCTGCTCGCCCTTAGCAGTTTTTTTGGTCTTCTTTAGGTTCCGCTTGACAATAGCCCAGTATTTCTCAATTGGGCGGAGCTCTGGCGTGTTGGGAGGGTTCTTGTCCTTGGGAACCACCTGCACGTTGTTGGCGGCGTACCACTCCATGGCCTTTTTACCGTAATGGCAAGATGCCAAATCCGGCCAAAACAGTACGGAACAACCGTGTTTCTTCAGGAAAGGCAGCAGACGTTTATTCAAACACTCTTTCACGTAAATTTCTTGGTTGACAGTCCCGGAAGCTATGAAAATGCTGCTTTTCAAGCCACAGGTACAGATGGCTTGCCAAAACAGATATTTCTTTGCGAACTTTGACAGTTTCATGTGCTTGAAAACATCTGCTACCTTTCCCCTTCCTTTTGCCGTATAAAACTCCTGTCCCGGAAGCTGCTTGTAGTCGGCTTTGACGTAGGTTTCGTCGTCTATTACCACGCAGTCAAACTTCGTCAGCATCGTCGTGTACAGCCTCCGGGATCGCGCTTTGGCCGTCGTATTTTGTTTATCATCGCGATTTGGAGTCACTACCTTCTTGTAAGTCGATAGTCCGGCTCGTTTTTTGGCTCGATGCACGGTTGTAGACGATACACCCAGCTTATTTGCGGCATCTCGGAGAGAGAGGTTAGGGTTTCGCTTGAAACTACCGGCAACTCTCTTTGTCGTCTCAGCGGCTTCCGGTTTTCGATTTCCCCCCGATCCAGACTTCCTGGCTGTCGACAAACGTTCCCCAAACACTTTAATTACATTTGTAACGGTTGATTTGGCAACTTTTAGCGATTTTGCCAACTTTGCGTGCGAGTAGCTCGGATTTTCGCGATGCGCGAGCAAAATTTTGATACGCTGCTCTTCTTGCTTGGACGGCATTTTGACAAATGAAGAGTGAATTCCAAAATCAAAATAGGAGCAACATTCTACACACACACACCTTCAAAATGAGGGGTGTTCAGGTTTTTTAAATGCAAAATTGAAAGAAATACGTCAAGTTGATATTGACCAAATTTTGACCGTATCACCCTTTATGTATTTTATTGTTATTCACTTAAACATCATTGGGGCTACACTCAGCCTGTTGATGTAAACTAATAAATAAATAAACAAATAAAAGAAAACATTATTACTCCAAGCATATGAGCCTGTGTAAAAAATGGCAAAGATTGAAGAATGTTTAGAGGTTGCACATGTGGTTTAAATATAGTATGGAGATTATGGTGAATTACTATGGTGCATCAAAAATGAATCTATTCTTTCCATGGCAACGATAAACAAACCTGCTGTGATGAAATTGATGTTCAATTTACTCTATTTTGAAATTTTGTCCCATTTATATATATCTTTAAATTTAATTTATGAATTGGGATGATAGTAGAATACTTCAAACAGCAAAAAGGTGACACATTACCAAGTGGAATTAAATGGAAAATAATCACCTTTCACTAATTGCTACCAACCTGGCGGTATCAAAAACAAACTTGTTGGTCATTGAGATAGCAGCCACGTATCAAATTTATTCAGCGTTTGGACAACTAGAAACAAAGTTACAGCGTGGAGTGTGTCCAATAATACTTTTCTTTTTTTTTCAAAATGAAGCACCCCCGGCTAAAAAAAGATTCCTAAAACTTGCTCTTATTCATCAAAAATCCAAAACCCAACCCACCGTCACAACATATTCCACAAGTTGGCAGGAAAGCACTCGCCATAATCACTCCCGTTCGTTTCCCGTCCAACACAATCAAAAGCTTCTTGCTCGCTTGGTTCGCACTCCGCTCAACTTTCCATCCACCAATCCAGCCCACCTCGCGGAACCCCTCAGGATTTTTCCATGATTTTGACATTCAATACCAATGCAACCTATAAGGTACTACCGCCGACATTGAAATCAGCCAACCACCCACTCAAGCCCAGTCACACTACACCCACACCCACACACACACATATTTGCACCTCGTACCTGTCTTGGTGAGTATCCCGTTGTACTGCGCGCGTGCTTTTCCTCGATGTTGCTCGTGGTCGGGATTCTCCCACATAAACATCATCATCAACAACAGCAACGGGCGGCAGCAGCAGCAGCAGCAAAGCCCTGAACTCGAACACGAGGCTCCGAGCAACCGTTCAGTTGCATATCGTCTTCCGTTCGCGTCGCTCGCAAAAATCTGCCAACTCCCGGTGATATTCTTCGGTTTGAATAAGAAAAAAAAAAAAGGATCTGTGTGATTAGGAAGGCTGGAGTAATAGAAAAAAAAAATCCTGACCATCCTGGCATAACCTGGATGCTGTACGGACGGGTAGATCCGGGTTTGGGAAGCTCTTGAAGTTGATTCGGTTCGTCGGTGGTGCGTTTGGATAAATTGGTCGCGAGTTTTCTGGAACAGGGATTTTCCTTGGATCACTTTACAGCTCACAGCTGGCCGATCGCAGGATGAAGTGAACGGACGAGAGCGAGTTTTCAGTAGAAGAAACAGTCGCGGGAGAGAGTGAGTGAAAAGTGAAGATTTTCCAAAGGCTTGCAGCACAAGTTTGACATCGCCAGCGAAGTGAGTCTAATTACCCCGGGATTTTCCGAGTGCTAGCAGCAGGAGGATAACAGAGCCGTTCTGCCCTGTGGACCCGTGGCTGCGAGTGTGCGTGTGTTTGTGGGGGTGGTGTTCCTACGAATCTTCAGAGGGATTAAAGTGTTTGTTCTCTATAGAGAAGGACGGAAATTCCAAGTTCGGAACGTGTGTTTTTGTGCAAAAGTGCCAAGCTTGATCGGGGGAAAACGCAGGTGAATTTCCATCGTTAATATGCAATGAGTTTGTGGATTTTGGTTTAATGCGCTGGCTTCTACTGCGAAGTGTTTGGGGTGGGGGGGGGGGGTGAAAAGGGAAACGAGTAGATTTATCGATATCAAATCGAGCCTCCTGAGAGTATCGAGTCGCACGGTGTACGGGAGTGTTTGTGTGTGTGGAGCTTTCCCGCTAGCTGCTAGGAGAAAGTAAAAGCCTACCCCGAATTCGACTCGATCTCGCACTGTGGAGGAAGATGAGAGATTTTGCCCAAGTCGAGTCGTGTTGCTAGTGTTGGTGGTTTGTTTTTGCTCGGGAGTCTCACGCGGTTCGTTCGTGTGAACTAAAGGTTAGAGGCAGTGGGTGTCCTACTGAGCCCACCCAGTGGCGGTGTGTTTACTTCATTAGGAAAAGGCTGCTGCTGCTGCTACTGGTGGCTGCCGTGAATCTGCGACGGCTGCTGCTGCTGCCGTCACTGTGAGCTAGTATTGGTACCAACGGTGGGAAATCCGAACCAGGCTGTCAGGAGATTGAACAGCTGAATCTTGCCGCTAAACGGTGGTTTGGGTCGTCGTTGTCGTCCAGATAATGTGTGGGAACGTGCGGTGAATCGACCGACGGAATCGGTTTTTGGAATGGTGAAGCTACTACTTACTACTAGCGACGATGAAGGGCTCCAATCGAAAAGTGGTTGTTGTAATCAATGGGACCACATATTGCGATGATGGGATTTTGCAGTTTGTTGGCAGGCTATTGGCTTCATAAAGGCGGAGTTTGTGGAAGGATGGAAAAGTTTCCTGGCACATACCACAATTCCGGAGAACTTCGAGATTAGGGCGTAATTGCGTTTGTAAATAAACACTTAAATCACCGATTTCTCGCGAATTAAAGGACAATCTCACGAACAAACTATACGAAATGATAGAGGAACCATTCCTCTATCTGTTTGTGTTGTTAGTTTGTGAGATTGAGATTTAATTCGCGAGAAATTGGCGATTGAAGTGTTTGTTTACAAACGCAATTACGCCCTAATCTCGAAGTTCTCCGGAATTGGAACAAAGGTCTTGGTTATTCGAACAAATATTGATGATACAAATATTGGATTTGGGACTCGTTTAGTATTTTTTTGACTATCTAAAATAATACCTTCCTAATTGCTGTTGGAACTTTGTGGTGTGATCCCCAAAATTATGAGAGAACATATTCTGCGACATTCAAAGTGTTTTTTGTTACTTCATACGAGAAGTTTACGATTTTCAGAGCTGGTAGGGAATGCTATACTAATATCAACATGAAGCTTTAGTGTGCTGATTTACTAATTAGAGAAATCTCTGAAGAGCTTTTCTCTTTAGAACTTTCTCTAGTTAATAAATTATCACACAGAAACATCATGTTGATATAAGTATAGCATTTCAAAACAACTCTGATATTCATCGAGCTATTGCTAATTTCAGTGTTGCTTATAGAGGATTGAAGAAATCAACATTTTCCCTTTCTGATGTGGACGTAATTTTCTTACCTGCTTGATTTCCTCGTAATAATTCCTCGAGCTTTTGCGAGTTAAAGAAGTATCTTGGAATATTTCTATGCTTCTCTTTTCCGCAAAAAACTTCATAAAGCAGCAAGCAATTGGTGAGTCGTGGGCTGCCCTCAGGTGGGTATCGGAAATTCAGGCAACTGGTTCATCTTTTTTTTTAATAAGGTGTAAACATTTTATGAATTCAGAATAAGCAAGGTGTCGACTACCTGAAAAAAACTGGAAATCAAGAAATTTCAGGGAATTCAATTTTAGTCCTTGAATATAAAGGGCATCTAAGGCAAATAAGGGAAATACTTTGACTTTATGTTTAGTATTACTTCTGCGTGAAGTCAACGATTTACAAAGTTGAAGATGCTAATTTCAAATAACAGACTAGAGTGGTAATTTTTATACGATAGATGGAGGAGATGAAAGTCTAGAGTTGATAGTTCCGTTAGAGTACGGCAGTGTGAAAATTGCATACAGATAGTAGATAGCGAGCTAGGACAACTTTTTTAAGGAAGGTACAAATCGGTTTTTACCGCACTTCAGTTGTTATTTGAAGGAAGGCATCCAGTCGTAGGTTTGGAAATTGCAGGGAAATATTTCTTAATCCTCTCTGGAAACTTTTACTGATCTCGCTAGTCTCATACAATTCAATTACGCGGTGAAGCTTTCAAATGTTTGTTAATTAATAAAAGCATCAATAGAAGTTTGAGCTTGTATGTGCTCAAATGAATTATTTTAATTGCTTAAACAAAGAACACAGTCTTCTCCAGCTGCTTATGTGTTCTAATCTAAACAAATCTTATATAATACAAACGCAGCCAGTAGGAATCCTATGAATTGACACATTAGATGTTCGTGAGATTGTGCTTAGCGAACTGAATTTTGATGATTTTGGGCCGTCCCTGAGATGAAGTGGCATCCAGAGGGACGGTAAAAATCCATCAACATCTTTGAGTAAAGCTATACATTATTGGTTGTGACAAAATTCATGCTCCAAGTGGTTTAGCGCATTTCTGGGTGGGGCTGTGTTTGGTTCGTTCCAACAATAGTTTAACCTCTGAAAATGGGTCCGAGTGTCTTTCCCAAGTAACAATTCAGCAATCATTTGGCATCCACTCTAATTTATGATGGTTTTATAATGGCAATGAACAATCCATGTAGTTTAAATACAGCTTTTCAAAGTGTAAACCATTGCTGTTTAGTAATTCAGCTTTTAGCTGTTTCAAAAACCTTTTATAGTCTGGCAAGAAAGTCGACAATTGCCTAGTTTTAAAAAATATTTTTGAAGCAGTTCTCAATCCCTCCATAAAACTGTTCTGTTATTCAATCATAAACTTCATCAGCAATTGTTTATTAATGTCTTGATCAAATACTTTATAAAAGTGTTCTGTCATTATATGTGCAACCATAAAATAATTGGGTTTTAAATGAGAGCAAAAGGCATATTGTAAGGCTTTTAAGTCTTTTAAATTGTATAATTACTCTGTTTACAAATTGAACTTAAAATATATGGATCCCCACTGTGAATTAAAGCAAAATGTATGACAAGAAAATCTCGAAGGATAGACGAAGTAGGATGACAAATTCAAGCGATTCTAACTATCGAAGGGAAGTCGCTTTCAGTCTAATTTACTTCTTTAGAAGAACCAGCACGGCCGGCTGAACCGGTACCAATAGGTGACGATCGGAATTACTTGGATCAGTACCGACAGCAAACTACCAAGCTGTCAGTTAGCAGAGATTAGCTGATTTGCAATCCATGGCAGCGATTTTATTCGGTGAAAGGGTCAACTAATCAATAATTTCTGTCAAGCGTACACTTCTGCGTCGTTTGATGGTGCACTTTGGGAACCATCCGGAAGAAGGGGGTCTTCTTCGGGAACAAGCTGTTTGAAATGCTAAATATAATACAACAGTATCGCACACTTTCTGAGTAACTGCTTCCAATCCATTGCCTGAAAGAACGCTGGATCGCACAGCGCAAACAAACAAACTTTGACGTTTAAATTTTTATTGGCAGCTTTGCCTACATAAATGCTGGCATGAATCTGAAAAGGTTAGGATCAAGCAAAACGGCTTTAGATAAAACAATTCAGTCTGCAAGTTTTCTTCATAAGAGCCTTTTTAAAACCTTTTTAATTTGTTAGGGATTTCTTGAAATCAAAACAACTTTTTCACAAATGGTCCATGAAAATTAACTTTTATGCCTCCGCCATATTAGAATTATTTTGTTGGTTTTTCGCAATCTTTGTTTTTCAATCTACATTTCCTTGGATATAACTTTTTTTTGTCAATTTAGCAATAAGCAAATATTTAAAATGCGATAATCTTTAAAAAAAATCTTGGCTAAACTAGATGATCGATCTTAAGAATAATTTTGTGTTTACTTAAAATTAAAATAATTATTAAAATCAACGTTTTCCGAAGGCGGACTAATTTTTTTCGGTGTTATCACGTACATTTCACATAAGATTTAATATGGCACCTAAGACTAGGTCCCTTTATGAGAACTATTTAAATAATTTTGGTAATTCAACAGGATTTTTACACGATCAGTTTTTATTTAAGTTATTTTGATAAGATCGGATGGCAATTATGAATTCTTTTCTATCTTGATTGATGCTTTTCTAGTGGATTTAGCAAGCAGCTAGGGAAAACGGCTCAAGAAAGGGTTTTATTGTTACCAAATAGCTTTTATTGTAGCTTAAATACGGTTTTCAAATAGTTCTCAATGCGTTCGTCATATAACCTTCTTGCAGTAAATCAATCTTGAAGAGCTTCGAGAAAACATCTTTCAGAACCTTCTCCAGGGTGGGCCAACTAGACAGATTCTAGTTTTAATTATGTTTTGGTGGATGCATCAATGGCAATACAGCCTTGACCAGGGTTTTATGAATGTTGTTTTACTGTAGCTTTGTAGTATTTAATAAAATTTAAAATGTTACTTGGGTTGTTTAAATGCAAGAATGTCAAAAAGTTAAGAGCTATACTTGCAGTTCTAGTTTCTCATTGTGTGCTTAGGAGCCCGATAAATTCAAACATTAAGGTGTTTCCTTGTAGATTTCATTTTTCCATCACCTCACAATTTCAACAGCACACAACTCAAGATCTACGACGTTTATACATCTGCAAATTTCAGACATTGCTTGCTTTTCTGTAGCAAACAACAAGTAGCAGTTTCAGCTTCGTATATTCAAAGAATCCTCATTATTTTAACATGTGAAACTGCGAAGTGTAACACGAAAAAGGACGCTACAAGGGAATCACCTTAAGCTATCCAATGAAAATTAAGAATTATGATCCTGCTTGGATAGCAGATCATACTTGATTGCTTGGAGTAGCAGATTATGATTAAATATTGATCTCAGATTCACATGGACCAAAAATTCTAAATTTGTGAAAGCACAACTCTGAATATCAAATTTTCGATTATGCTGATGGAAAGAAAGTGGAGGGCAATCCCAAATAATC